CTCGGTCATGAGCATACGCTCTAGGTGCCCAGGAGGCTGGGTCACAGGTAACCTTGGGTTTCGTAGCACTTGTGTTTGGTGGACTCTGCCTGCCAGCAAAACTCATTCAGTGGGGAAATGACCTAAGGGAGGTCTTGATGCCAGGCAGCTGAGCAACTGAACAAATTGCAAATATCCAATGCCAGGCTGGAAGACTTGGTGTGCTGCATTGCATTGCTGATCCTTCCTCTATCTATGCTTTCACCACATAAGTTTGTGATCTTTCCCACAACATGGTGTGCATTTTCGCATTCCTTGACTTTCGCCATGGCCATGGGATTTGTTTTTGCGTATTGAAAGTTGCTAGATGTAATATAAGCAGAGGCTTGAAATGCACTCAAGTGGTTGAAGCTGGTGCTGTGCTTCTGCCGTCAACATAGAGAGAGATAGAGAGAGAACGTCGTGGTTGGTTCTATCACTGCACCACCGTAGGTCAATAAATGTCCCAACAGCCTGGCAGAGAAGCAAGGCTCCCCTACCTTTAGGCGACTCCTCGGTCTCACAAGTTGAATCAATACTTATTGATGTATGCCTTAGATGTTATGGTTGGTCATTATTCAGCAATAGCTGATGATATACACCCAGAGAACATTCCGAGGTTTTCCATAAAGGGACGAAAGGGCAGGTAAGTGAACCAAAGCTCTAATTAAGGCAATAAGGAGTGTTCCATAGGATGTGGGTAAGAATAAGGACACCTCTTCATACCAAATTCTGTGAAGAGTCACCATTTTGGCCTCCTTGTGTTATGTATATGGCCTTCAGAATTCTTATATTTACACACTGCCTGATTTACAAAAACTCTTGCTAACATGTTTATAAACCTACACGGTTTGTTACCATCTCAACCAAGTCGCCTTGCCCAGAAGCCCTTGCTTCAGGGTCTCAGAGCATCCCATGACATCATCTACAGTAAATGTTGCCTTTCCCTCTGGGTTGAAATCCCATTCTTGGTACTCAATAGTTATTCTTCTGTTCAAGTTTCTACAAGTGGCTGGTGCTGTGACACAGCGGGTTAATGCCCTGGCCTGAAGCACCGGCATCCCATATGGGCGTAGGTTCAAGTCCCCAGCTGCTCTTCTGATCCAGCTGCTATGGCTTGGGGTAGCAGTAGATGACTCAAGTCCTTGGGCCCCTGCACCCACATGGGAGACCTGGAAGAAGCTCCTAGCTTCTGATCGGTGCAGCTCAGGCCGTTGTGGCCAATTGGAGAGTGAACCATCAGATGAAGACCGACCTCTCCTCTGTGTTAACTCAAATCTTAAAAAAAAAAAAAAAAAGTGTAATTTCAGTCTGAGACTAAAACCAGTGATGCAAAGTTTCTACAAATTTGTAGGTGATGTGGTCTCCTGATGATACCTTACCCGCTTTTTCATCCATACTGGCCTCCTTGCTGTGCTCTGAATGTGGACGGGCAGAGGATTCCTGTTCCTTGTCTCAAATATCCTTTCCCCATTTTGCAGTCTTTGCTCATGTCCATATTAAATGTAGCCTTCCCTCATTGAACTATTTTGTCTTATTTTCCTTCATAGCACCCAACGCCTGACATATGGATCTGTTGCCCTGACAAAATGAAAAGGACTTTTGTCCACTGCTGTACCCCCAGGACCTGGAACACTGTCTCCAACATAAATGTTGAGTGTATAGATGAAAGTGAATGAATGCTTGTTTAACTGAACATAAAACAGGTGACATCTGTGTTGACGAGTTAGAGCTCCAGACATTTTTAAATTTAGAGAGACAGGGACAAAGGTCTTCCATCCACTGGTTCATTCCCCAAATGGCCACAATGGCTGGAACTGGACCAAACCGAAGCCAAGAGCCAGGAGCTTCTTCTGGGTCTCCCACACAGGTGCAGGGGCCCAAGCACTTGGGCCATCTTCCACTGCTTTCCCAGGCCATAGCAGATAGGAAGAGGAGCAACCAGGACTCAAACCAGTGCCCATATAGGATGTTGGCAGAGGCTACACCACAGCATAGGCCCCCAGGTAAACTCTTACTCCAATAATTTAGTGTCCCTGTAAAATGCCAAAGTGTATAGCATAATGCTATCATTCCACCTTGCAGTGGGGAGTTAAACAGAGACAAATGGGATGGAAAATGGAAGATAGTTCTTTATTCCCAGTGTGTTAACTGTTTAAAGGACAAAGTTTTGAAGGCACAGCCAGTATGATCTTTCATACCACTCCCATGCGGGTGCAGGCACCCAAGCACTTGGGCCATCCTGCACTGCCCTCCTGGGCCACAGCAGAGAGCTGGACTGGAAGAGGAACAGCCGGGACTAGAACCCAGTGCCCACACAGGATGCCAGTGGTACAGGCGGAGGATTAACCAAGTGAGCCACAGCGCCAGCCCCTACTTCACCTTCTAAAGGCTAACAATTACTATCTGGTCTCTGCTAGCCTGGAATATCACTTCACCTTCCAACAAACCCAGTAAGGCTTTTTGACGTATTATTGATCTCCATTACTCAAGGGGAAGAGCATTCTGGGTACAGTTAGGAAGCCTACTATGGGCACAGTGAGTAGAAAGAATGTAGTCAGTCCAGCACTCCTCTACATTATCCCAAGAGCATCTGGCCTTAGTGCATCAGCTAACTCATTAAGTTCAGGTTTAAAACAAGGAATAAAAAGCTTGTTACAGCAAAGCAAAACTGGAGCTGTACCAATAAATCCAGCCTAATCTAACGACAGAATTCCTGTACAAATTCTAAAACTTTCTTCCAATTTCTGCTCAATTTTTCCTCCTTGGGCCTTGCACTCTCAATATTCTGACTGTTGGGACATGGATGCTGATTTGTTGAGGCACACATTCTTTATTTTTTGACAGGCAGAGTGGACAGTGAGAGAGAGAGACAGAGAGAAAGGTCTTCCTTTGCCGTTGGTTCACCCTCCAATGGCCGCCGCGGCCGGTGCACCCCGCTGATCCGATGCCAGGAGCCAGGAGCTTTTCCTGGTCTCCCATGGGGTGCAGGGCCCAAGCACCTGGGCCATCCTCCACTGCACTCCCTGGCCACAGCAGAGAGCTGGCCTGGAAGAGGGGCAACCGGGACAGAATCTGGCGCCCCGACCGGGACTAGAACCCGGTGTGCCGGCGCCGCTAGGCGGAGGATTAGCCTAGTGAGCCGCGGCGCCTAGTGAGCCGCGGCGCCGGCCGAGGCACACATTCTTTATGTAAGGCAAACAAAGCATTTCAAAGGGTTTAGAGTTCTGAAGTGTCCCAATCTTTCCATACAGTCTATTCCCACTGTTGGGACACAACCTATTTTTTGTTAATATACTTTCTCAAGACTCTGGTATGATCATTTAGTCAGGAATCCTTCAAACCAACTTTGCTTTTTGCTTCAGTAGTCTCAGTCCTCCAACTTCAGGGTTATTATCAACAAATCAAAGTCCTGGGTTCCTCTGTCTGTAGACAGGAACTTCCAAAAATCCCATGGTTCTCACAATCCTTGTCCATTTTAAAAAATGTTTATTTACATCTACTTCAAAGGCCGCGAGAGATTCTGTGACAGCGGTTACCTAGAGGCTCCTCCAAACTTCCATGTCCATAAACTAGGCAACCATCAACACAGCACACCAGCACTTACTTTCTTATCCCAGATCATGAAAGCTCTCACTCACTACCCCTAAACTTGGAAAACTCCCAATTTCCATTACCTGTAACACTCTTGATGGCAATTCAAAAATTAAAGTCAAAATTCTTTTTCAGTTTCTGAGGTCTGAAAATTTATTGTCACAGAATGGGTGGCTTACTCAATTCAGAGCTAAAATTCAGGCTCAAGAACAGAAAGGTTCCTCTTTGGGATTATCATTAGCCAGAATTCACTCCATTGTTACACCTACTTCAAAACTCAATACAGATAGTTATTTCTGTGACAAAATGATTGGCTTACGTGTAAGAAAGGTGCTTAGTGGGTGAGAGGAAGCAGGATGGGAATATTGCCTGACTGATGTACCTGCTATATTGTTGGGTTCACAACAGCAGGCATCTGATAAATTCAACTTAATGCAACAAGGAACAGGTATTCTCTTGGGCCAGTACCTGATGTCAATAATTCCCATGCTGCCCATTGCCTTAGTGCTAATCCAGCCTTTTTTCCTCAATGATAAACAGTACCACACTCCTTTCCATTGCATATCAGTACAAAATCATTCTTAGCTTTTTATGTATTCCTCTACAATCTAACCTCCCCTGGATCACATTAAATACTCAACATGTGTGGCCACTTCAAAATTGGTTAAAACAGTAAGACACATAGTTCATCATGCTGAACTGCCTACATATATGACAACACTCCAAAAACTCTATGGAAAAAGGAATTAAAGCTATTTTGGCACAAAGCAACTGTGAAATGCATGCCTATAAATATAACTCAAAATTTAGGGAAAAGAGGGCTAGTGTTGAAGCATAGTGGGTTAAGCCACTGCCTACCTGTTTTCTGGCTGTTAAGGCTTCTAATCCAATCTCCTGCTAATGTGCCTGGGAACACAGTGGGAGATGGCCCAAATCCTTGGGCCCCTGACACTGACCTGAGAGACCGGGATAGAGTTCTTGGTTCCTGGTTATTGCAAGCATTTGGGGTATGAACCAGTGGCTGAAAGAACTTTCTACCTCTCCCTCCACCACTCTTTCAAATGAAAGATGTTCAGTCCTAGGTAAAGTACTCTATACATCATGGATTGCCAAGGATTAAATGAAATAGTATGTACAGTGCTTTTTAAAAGTACCTGAGTTTTTGTACGAACAGGTATTTCAGGGTATGTGTGAAGGCTGGAGTTTTCTGTAAATGCAATCCTATCCTCAAATGGAGATGATCATGCCAGATCTAGCTATCCATTAAGTTTTCCTGGAATATTAACACTTCTCAGCCCAATGGACACACTGTATTACAAACTAAGATTTAGAAGTCTAATTACAAGATTAAAACTTTTTTTTTTTTGAACATTGAGTAGCACCAGCAATTTTTCTTTCATTTCCGTTTATTTAAACACAGTTCTCAAAACATTTGAGTGAAATTGGGTCTCCTTTGGTAAGCAAAGGACCTGAAAATAATATTTAAAAAATGAACAGGCAAAGTCTTCAGTTTATCCACGACACAGGTGTAGTGTTCCCTTCTCTTATCCCGTACTTTGAAGCACCCAGTTTTTTCATATGGTCTAAAAGCTAGAACAAGAGTACATTTGTGGTGGAATGTATTGTTACTTGCTGATAACTAGTTGAAATACCATTATCCCCTTGTAACAGCTTTAAGAAAAAGCCTTTTAAAGGCATACATTGTGTAACTCTTTTCTTATTCCCTGCTATATATAATACAGGTTACATAAAGGCTGACAAATCCACATTTATATAAGCATCAAGCGTTTGCTGTATTCAAAGTTTTAGTTCTAATACTAGCAGTACAGAGTTACAGAGCGTAATTTTTAACACTTACTTGCAGGTATAATAAGTATGGTATGTTTCATGGACTGGAGAAATAACGGGCATTTTTGTCTTTAAATTCACTACTGACAACTTAATCTGAACTTTCTGCTAAGCATTGATATGTTAGAAAGAAAAGTAAAAACCAAACTGTTTATTGTTGCTTTTTGCCATTTGGTAACATTTTACACACAGGCTTCGATCTTCAGAATACCCTGGATTCAGTAGAAAAACCTTTTAAATGAAGTTTTGTACAATAAAAACTTCTCAGCAGTCAAAATTTAGACTGTAAAAAAATACATGCAAAACATACTTCTCTGAAAACACTTAACTTTGAACAAAGCACCAAACTACACAAATGCAGAATGAAAACAGCATTTCAACTCCACCAAAAGTAGTCATCATAAAAGGTGTAAAAGTCACCTAACTTCACTAGGCACTGTTCACTTTTTAAACAGGAGACAATAAAAAATATTGTCCACAAACAACATCCCAGCTCTAGGGCAGATTTCAGAGTGTTCAACTTCATGCTTCAATAGCGACCTGGGAAGAAAATAAACAAACATGCTTCAATGCCAAGGAATCAGAATAGCAAATGTACTTAATGCTGAGAACTGAGACTACCTCACCATTAGCACGTTCCTATGTACCAGCATAGCCCCTCTTTGAAAATGAAGATTCTCGGAACGGTGTTAACAACAGAAATTAAACATTCAAGTGTTAAACAGAAATGGCTGGGTTAAGTAGATCATAACCTGAGAACAACAGTTTTAAATCACCCAATTATCCCAAAGTTGTCCAAAATTTTCAAGGATTTCTAAAAGGAAAGCTACTGACAGTGAGAGAAAACAGTAAGTCTTAAGGGTTGTTTTTATAAACTTTGAGTCCTAGCAACATTTAGGATGTGTGTTCATAACATATAAATAACCCAAATCAACCCATTATCTGCATAAGGAAGTAACTTGGCTGTATAAAAAAATCCTAAGATAAAAAAACTTACGAGGTGAGTAGGATCGTGATCTGGAACGTGATCTGTATCCTCCACGACTATAGTAAGGAGAAGGTGACCGCCTTCTGTAAAAAAAAAAGTCAAGACTGCCTAAGTCTCCATAGATCACACTGACAAGTGACAGTAACACCCTACCAAAATGAAGAGGTCCTCATGAATTTTCAAATATTTCTCATAAGTAGGAGATTTCAAGGTCCTTGTAAGTTGAGAATAAAGCACATTATAATAATGCATCCGTTTCACTATCAGAGATCCAATAATCAATTCTTTACTTGACCAATCAATATGCTTTCCTTTTAAATTCTGTGAAATAATGTTAGAAGAAACTAATTTTCTAACACCTAAAACAAATTTCACTAGTGCTTCAATAAAATGATACCACTGAGTAATTCTGTCTATAAACCATATTATTTCTGCAGATCCACAAACTCCATTATATTGTCATCTGGCTTTACATCCAAGCAATCCAAATTTGTGTGAGGCCACTTATGCCTTAACTATAAAACCATTACTAAGCGTACATCTTTATTCAAAGTTTCTACTGTTGACCAATTATAAATCCTTTCCTGGCATACCTATAAATTTGATCTCTATCTTGAGCAGCTCTCCATCCGCCTCCTCCTCCACCACCACCTCTGGAAGACAGAAAAGAAACACACATTTAGTTTACTGACTTTTAGGACGAATATACAAGTCTTGCTTTAAAATAAAAATATCCACAAAGCAAAACTTGAATATAACTTAAAAAAAAGTTTTATTTATTTGAGAGAGGGGAGATAGAACTCTTCCATCTGCTAGTTCATGCAACAGCCAGAGCTGGGTTGATCTGAAGCCAAGAGCCAGGAACTTCTTGTAGGTCTCCCATGTCGGTGCAGGGGCCCAAGGACTTGGGCCATCTTCCACTGCTTTCCCAGGCAAATTAGCAGGGAGCTGGATTCTAAGTGGTACAGCTGGATCCCTGTGCTACAGGTGGCAGTCCCAAACTTAACTATCTTACAGGTGAAATGATATTAACAAATTCTCATCATTGCAAGTTAACACCTTAAATCCTCTCAAGCGATTTTGCCAGTCTTTATAGGGGCCAGCGCTGTGGGGTAAAGTCATTGCCAGCATCCCATATGGGCAAGGTTTGAGACCTGGCTGCTCCACTTCTGATCCAGCTCTCTGCTATGGCCTCAGAAAGCAGTGGAAGATGGTCTAAGTACTTGATCTTCTGTCACTCATGTAGGAGACCTAGATAATGTTCCTGGTTCCTTGCTTCAGCCTGTCCAAGCTCAGGACATTGCAGCTTTATGAGGAGTGAACCAGTGAACAGAAGATCTCTTACTTTCTTTGCCCATCAAATAAAGAATGACTTAACAGAAAATCTTATTTAAAGTCCAGCTTGTATTTGTTGGTGTAAAATGGAAGTGCTGAATAAAGTTTTTATTAAAGGTTAAAAATTAGGCAAATATATTGCTATCAATTTTGCTCAGACTCAGAAAGCTGATCACTCTGCATTATAACTTACCTATATGACCTGCTATAGTAGTCTCGATCATCATAGCCTCGATCATACCCTCTGTCGTAGTAATCCCGACGGCGTGAACTGCCACTAGGAATAATAAAACGAATTTTTTTTTAAAAAAGTTACGTGGTCTTGCCTGTATGTATGGATATAACTTTTGCCATTAAAAACCTGTTCAGATATTCAGCAGCAGCACACCACCACAAACAGCTTGGGTCACTATGGTTTTAGGCATTTAACATAATACTCCTATGTAATGGGCAATTGTTTCAATTAAAGTTTCTTTATTCTCTTCTCCTGGAGAAAAATGGAGATACCAACTAGCAAGACTTTTTGGATTATGTTGACTGTATTTCTGAACAGTACTGGAAAATACTGCCTTTTCCTAATTACAGCATATTTTAAAAACCTTTTGGTTAAGGAGACACAGATCTACTGACTTCCTCTCTACTAATCTAATGTAGCAAGACCACATGTTTCCAAGAGGAAGAGAACAGTCACATACAGAAAACAGTTTTGGGAGTGGGAAGATATTCCAGTATTAATTCATTAATTTTCTGGCAGTAATATACATACTTGGTGAGAGCTGTGACAGTATTCTTAATAGGCCAATACTATTTAGTAACTAAAGTTCTTATTTTTTACTTTAATGATTAACCAACAGGATTAGATGAAATGTCAGACTTTACTGGCACACAAGTGTGTCTGGGGAGGAACTGAACAAATCAAACTGTTAATGACATTTTTATCTTGCAAATAAACTTACTATGTAGGTCTCCCCATGTAAATTCCTGGTGTTGGAGTATGTGGTCTTTTTGTTATAGAAAAATCAACTCTGATTCTACGCCCATCAAGCTCCATTCCATTGGCACGTTCTTTAGCCTTCAAAAGATAAGAAATAATTGTTAGACATCCTGAACAAAGCCACCAATTAACCTATACTTCTAAGTAAGGTTCAATTAGACTTTTCCCTTAAGTGCATCAAGTTATTTTAATGATGGCCAGAATATAAGTTCTACGATTTATATAGTAAGATCTCCTCCATTAAATACATTTGAAAAAGCTGGTTAGAAACAGTTGAAAATTTATTGAAATGCTGAAAATGCCAATTTAACCCAGTACTTTAAGTTTGAAAAAAAAAAAAAAAGTTTTTGCTCAATGCAGTTTGATAACACAAATTTTCCATGAACTTTTTTGAAGACTCCTCACATGCAAAGATTACAAAATGTCTTATACCCAAATAATTTCACTTTTCTGTGCTTTTTGATGTATCCCTTGCATTTAAAGTAATTGTTGTACCTATAAATCTGATAGTGTGTCCAGTTCTAAAGCAGTACATAGCTGGCAAATTATATAGCCCATGGACCAAAGCTGGCCAGCCGTCTCTTACTTTATGACTCATAAGCTAAGAATTTTAAATGGCTAGGGCAGGCTGCTCTGGCACAAGACTCTGCTTGGACACTCACATGCCCTTATCAATCAGCCCTGATACAACTTCCTGCTAGTAATGTTGGGAGGCAGCAGATGGTTCACATACTTAGGTTCCCGCTACCCATGTGAAATGTGGATGGAGTTCCTGGCTCCTGGTTTCAGGCTGGCCTAGCTAGCCCTTGTAGTGAACCAGTAGATAAAAGCTCTGTCACTCTGAAAACAGATGATGTTTGTGTTTACATCTGTTTCTGGCACTAGTCAGATAAAAAACGTGCTATTTTAAAGGGAATGATCTGTTTTCCTGCACAAAAATCAAACCCAACAATCTGACAGCCTCTACTGTCACCAACCTTGAACAAATCAAACATTTGTCACCGTAGTACTTCGCAAAATGAAGTTGAGTGACACCTTAACAAGACCCCTTCAAAATCTATTTAATCTAGCTTGTATTCCCGCATTTAGTAAACCAAGTTACCCCCTTTAAAACTTAGCTTATGACTTTTAAACAACCACTCTATCTAGAGCTCAATTCTTAATCTCAGCATTGACCAGTAGGCTAATCCATTAAGTACTTCTTAGAGCTTTTCTCTTCCTTACCACTTCCATTGGATATGACTTCAGCCACCTATTATTCTGTACCTAGTCCAAGTTTACATACTAATGCTACTGTGTTCTGAGGCCAGCATTTGTGGCAAAGCAGCTATGTCACTGCCTGCAGTGCAGGCTTCCAATATGGGCACCTATGAGTCCTGGCTGTTCCATTTCTGATCTAGCTTCCTTGCTAATGTACCTGGGAAAGCAGCAGAGGGCTGCCCAAGTGCTTAGGGGCCTCCACCCATGTGGGAGACTCAGAAGCAGCTCCTGCCTTAGGCCTGGTTCAGCCCTGGCAATAGCAGCCATTTGGGGTATGAACCCAGCAGATGGAAGACCTCTTTCTCCCTCCCTCCCACTCTACCTTTCAAATTAAAAAAGTTACTATGCATTCTGCCTCAAGACAAATTAAAATTCAATCATTATCATTTATCTGCAATATACTGAAAACCAGTTCCATTTTCATGTAATTCTATCACTTTCAGTTATCTCTCATTAGAAAAAATAGTTCAATGTAAATACTGAACCGACTGCTCTAGGTCACTTTCCTATCACTCTGTATAGATTCAGAATTTTCCACAATAAAGGTTTAAATAATCTCAAAGTATAACTGACTCTATCCCCAGAAGAGTGTATTTCCTTTAACCCAAATTGTAACCGTCTATCCTATTTTATATTAAAAAAGCAAACACTATCCTTCCTTATCCAAACACTTGGTCATCATAAGTTGGAGTTAACAAAAGGGCCGCTGTTTTACAGAGGTACATGTAAACATTTACTTACTTCCTTAGCATCATCTACATTTTCAAAATAAACAAAGGCAAATCCTCTTGAACGCCTAGACTGCTGGTCATATACAATAGACACATCCGCAATGGGACCATACTTAGAGAAAACTTCTCTTAGATCTCTTTCTGTGGTATACAAGCTCAAACCAAATACTCCAAGACAACAGTTGGGGTCAGGATTTGCCTGGAAACAGAAAAATCAATCTTAATTCTGAAAGCTTATCATAAAACAAAGTTCAGCCTCCCCCACCCCCACCCCAAAGGAACCATAAGCTAGCTAAAAATTTCACGCACAATTAAAGTACTTAACAATTAGACCAAATACCATTTAGGAATTACAAAACATTACAGCAAGCACTGCAAGCATTTTTGAGAATGGGCAGAAAAAGACTACAAAATAATTTCAATCTCAAAATTAACTGGGAGAAATGGGGACTGGTAAAAAGCCAACTTGGCATCTTTTTTTTTTGAGACTGGAGGGCAGTCTGGTTGAGGGATTTACCTAACAATTTTTTCCTAAGAATTATTCAGATATTCACAAAAGGCTTACATATGGCTTATCAGAATAGCATTCTTTGTGAGAAAAATTTTTAGAGTGTTAAAATTAAGATAGACCATCCATACAATGGAATGCTCAGAACTGCCAAAAATATTTAGAACAGCACATACAGTTTGACTGTATTTTCACAGGAACGTAATACAGGAGTCTGCTCTCATCCCTGGGGGATGTGTTTTAAAGACCCCTAGCAGATGCCTGAAACCAGATATAGTTCCAAACTCTGTATAGTCCCTGGGTATCTGTGGGAGATTGGTTCCAGGACACCAAGGAATACCAAAATTGTGCAGATGCTCAAGTCCTTTACACAAAGTGGTAGAGTATTTGCACAAAACCTCCACACATTCTCTGTATACAATAAATTACTAAATTACTTATAATGCCCAACACATTTTAAATGCTATGTCAGTAGTTGTTATGATGAAAAAGATGGCATTTGAAATACATCTTGGGGCCGGGCACTTGGCCTAGCAGTTAAGACACCGGTTAAGACGCCCGCGTCCCATGTCGGAGTACCTGGGTTCGATACCCAGCTCCAGCTCCTGACTCCAGCAACTGGGCTCCTACCACCCACGTGGGAGACCTGGAATGCGTTCCCGGCTTCGGCCCTGGCCCAGCCCTGGCCGTTGCAGGACTTTGGGGAGTGTACCAGCGGATGGAGGCTCTGTCTGCCTGTCTCTCAAATAAATAAAATAAATTAAAAAAAAAAGAGACATCTCAAAACACTAAGCCTCAAGATTTCACTCATGCAATCACTGCTATAGCTCCATTATCCAATAAAAATCAGTTCAAGAAAAAAAAAAAAGTAAACTCAAGCAGTCAAAAAATGCTTCCCATCTTACCCGATTCCCAACATGACGCCTGCGAGTAGACATGGGAGAATGACTGTGGCTATGCCGTCTGCGATAATCTCGACTGTAAGACCTGCTGCGGGATCGTCTATGAGAACGGGACCGAGACCGTGACCTTGTATAATGTCTTCGAGAGCTTCTTCTGGATCTAGACCTGCAAGACAAAGGCTATGACTAAGCAAATGACAACAAAAAAAGTCTTCAATTCATTACTGTGGAGTAACATTCCAAAGAACACTATCCAGGCACATGCTAATATGGTTATAAATTCAGTGGGATAAGCTGCTGCTTCTCTTCTTACAAGATAATTTCCTCTCTCTAGTCACTTCCAACTTCACTAGGAGACATTTCAAAACTATACTCTCCAAGCATTTCTAAAAGGGAGATTAAAATGAACACATTTTTTGAAAAATTATAAAGCATACAGCATTTTACTACCTTGATTTCTGCCCATCTTTACCCCTTAGAATACCACGCTGTTTTTCTACCATCCCTTATGCTCACCATTCATTTAACATACTGACAAAGTCACCAGGTAGCTTTCACTAGCAATTAAAACAAAAACAATGAGTGGCTTTTAACTAGAGAAATCAAATAAAGTTGTCATCCAAACCAGGACATGTTTGAGAAATGGGGTATCATTAATTATGCATGAACTAAGGCTGTCTCAGGCAAACCAGGATGTATAGCCTTCTCTTAATGAACATTAAAAAAAAAAAGTGCACTGTAGTAAGGCATTGTTTTATACACACATGTACAGAATACACTAGACTACACCTGTTTATCAAGAATTGCAGTTACTGAAAACTAATGTTCTAGGGTTTATCTGCCATACTAAAAAGTTTTACAATCATGAATCCTCACAACTTTGAAGAACTGGCACTAAAAAGAAGCTAAGGTAGAAAAGTTTTTAAGTGATCTGCCCAAGCCAGCAAAAACACGCATAAGATTTGAACACTGACTCCAAAAGCCCAAGCTCTTAACCACTTAGCCTTCCTTCTGTCTCTTACAACTTAGGTTCATATCTAGTACCAATATTAAACAGGCCAACAAATAATCTACCCTCTCTATCTTCCTGGTTTACAAAGCACACACCAATTTCAGATCTAAGAGTAACAAGAAAATCTCAAGACAGTCTTTCTTACCTAGATTCAGATCTGGACCTGGACTTTGATCTGGAACGCCTGGAATCTTCCTTGGAGCGAGACCTTGCAGGGGTATGCCTTGCAGATTTCCCCGATCCGTGAGCACTTCCACTTCTGGAAGCAGAACGGGATTCCTACACGTAGATGTCAAAAGTTTAATTTGTGTACTTTCTGGGCAACTTTAAAAACAAATAAGCTGCTGTGAGATAAATGGTGAGGGAGAGCAATACCCTTCCAAGATAAGAAAACATAGGTAAGGGCAGGAACTGAGTATACCTGGTATAATAGTTTCACTGCTCCATCTGACAAATCAATTAACTTGACCTTTCTTCCACCTTATGGGAGCAGGGATTAAGAGTTATTTGACCCTACTCCCTTCAGAAAGGGGTGCCAAAGTCAAGCATTAAGGTAACTGTCCAAGGATTGTTTGGGAAAGTTATTCCATAAAGAGTAGGTTGAGAAAGAATCTCAGTAACTATGACACCTATGCTTTTTAAAACTATTTCAATGTAGTTGCAATCAATAAAACAAAACCCTGAACATTTAATAAAACTTACTTTAAAATGTTCCATTTTTTAAAGTTAATGCTTCCAAGTTCTATTTATTTTTCAATGAAAAGAGAGACAAAGACAACTTCATTAAGTCCTAAAGATAGAAACCTAATGGAAAGGACCAACGACCCTATTTCATCTAATAATGGTGGGAGGCTGCTCAAACTCAAAACCACCAGATGAAGCTACAGAAAAAGGTAGTGAAATGTAGCGTTAAGAGAGAGGGCATCATGAGATTTGCTTTCTCAGCTAAACAGAGATGATCAAGGGTAAACTTACAGGGAACTGGAGATAAGTAAACTTAAGAATGTTATGTAAGGGATATTAAAACCTGGACAGATTTAATTAAGAACTCCTCACCCAAGGCCCAGAAGAGAAACAGCTCAGAACTGTGAGCAAAAACCAAAGTCTAAGTATCATTTACTCAACTTTCCCAACCCCCCCCCCAAAAAAAACCACACACACACACAAACCAAAACAAACACACACACACACACACACAATCACTAAGGAAAATAGGAAAGGCCAACAAAACAGAGCAACTAGTCCATCAATGAACCCAGATCATTTGTTCAGTTAATCAAGAGGAAAGTTTATATACAGTAAACAGAATCAGAAAAAAGCTCTGGTGGTGTAGGCAACAAACAAAAGTGGATGCTTGAAGAGAGGGGGACAGAACACACCCAGAAATCAAGTGGGACAGCCTTTATGGAACTCAGGCAAAATTAATCAGTCTAGTAAGTCTTTTTACCAAGGACAGCATACTCAAAAGCAAGCAGTATTGTAGAAGTCACTATAGTGTTAAGAATATCAAGTAGAAACCTCCAGACAAAAAGTTACTCTGTCTGGTCAGAATGGTATTGCCATTTTTAAAAGGATAGATTATTTCTGAGTTACAGTCCTGAACATTTAAGAATACAGACCCATGGTTAACAGCATAATGGAAAAAATTTCACAAAATTCTTACGATGTGCAGAGGAAAAACTTACACACGAGACTAATACAGTCAGTTGAATTCAGGTGTCCAGGCCTCAACTCTAGACATAGTCAAACAGACTTAAAACATGGTATAAAGTTTTCCCTCAAACCCCCACACCCTCAAGTAACTATAAAGACATTGAAAGAAATAGATGATATTCTTTATTAATGAGAACAGCTGCCTTATGCACCAAGAAATGGCTACAAGATATAGTGCTGCTCAGAGAATCCAACTACTAATCCCTTTAATTTCTCCATCTAATGTTCTGAACACCAAGACATTCAGAAACAATTCATTTCCCTTCTCTCTCCTTGAACTAAGGAGGCAGTCTCAAAAATAGGGGTTTCTACCATGGTCACCACAGGCAAAAGGCAATCTAACAGAAATAGGGAATCCAAAAGTTATCAAGTAACTATGCCAATGCTAGGAAGATTTCTTCAAGAATGTTTTTTAACCTTTAATGGAAACCAAACAAATAATCTGCCCAAGAAGAGAGATCAGTACCTCAACAGTTCAAAAGAAAAGGTAAATTGTAGTTATCAGAAATTAAGCAATCTGCGTATCAAGAAAGATTCTTTGCTTCACAGAAAAGCCTTATTTTTAGATGCTTTAACCAGTCTGTCCACTAACAGTAAGAAAATATTTCTAGCCTAGGTATGGCTGTAATGAGGTTTCCTCATGAAGTCTTAGCAGATCAGGGGGGTCAAAGATACAATGCTTATGAAATTACAAGCATTTTCTTTCGCAGTCTCCAAAACTGCGGTGCTATGCAGACACATTTAGATCATTTCTCAGACCAGAAATAAGAGAAACACAAGAGTGCAAAAACTTCTTTCTACACTGACAGCTGGGCTAACACTTAACCACGGTCTTAAAACCCTCTTTCTTGTCATAGGTAGTTTCTTAAAGTTAATGCCATCTACAGCTATGCTGGTCATTACAGTTCATTAGGATAACACATGCAAGGGAATTTAGGTCTAGAAGAAATGATTTCTAAAATTACCAGCCATATCTAAAGTGTAATGCTAAACTTTAACACAGGCGAATCTATAAAATAATCAGTTGGGAAAGTCCCTATCCAAAAAGGTACTTCAAATTCCACATTCAGGGCTGACAAAATTATAGCTGTTAAAACATTAAAACCCTGTCAAAACTAAAACCCAATCTGATTCTGGATATCAGTGTTTGAAGGTAAGGCCATCTTTAAAACCAAAGTTTCTAAAATAATGTCCAGCGAATCAAGCTATCGACTAATCTCACTCATATGCTCACATACAACCTACAAAGGTAAAAATACCCAACAGCCTTCCAACAAAACCTCAATCCCCACCTCTCTATTCCTGGAGGCTATTTAAGAAAAACTTATTTGAAAGAGATGACTGAAGCTGTAATACACCACTCAATTCATATTCAACTAGCACAAGAATTTCATCAAAAATATATTAAGAAAAAATTCTGTAGACTTCAAAACTGTGCACCAAAATATACTTTCCTCAACAAACTTTTTAAACTACTTGTATATTATTTTAAAAACTGGACACAGAACATCCATTTAGAACACTGGTTCATAAGTTTATAGCATTTGAAAATTTAGAGCCCAAACCATAGAGTATTATAGTATGTAGGTCTGGTCTGCAGTTAGGCATCTAAATTTCTTTAAAGCAAAGTACTATGCTAAGTCTCAAAATTAAATTAAGAGGTTGTGCTTTTTGCCTATCTGAAATTTTTCCCCTTGACAAACACATCTTCCTGCAACCTTGCTTCTATCATCTTTCCAGCCCCCTCCCCTGCCCCAGCATGAATGCAGTCCTCCCTTCACTGCCTGCACCTATCTTCCCTTAACTTCCCCAACAGCATTAGGATGAGACCTCCTAAGACCCAAAGATGCTTTGGCCAAGGGGAAAAACAAAAATAAATTGTTGACATGTCCACTAGTATCAATGTATTTTCACTTTAAAGGTATCCAACCCAGACCACAATCTGATCCCAAAATACTTTATTTCTTGACCCTTTTTTCTTCTTGTGGACCCCAAGAACTTTTTTTAACTCTCACCATCCACTTCACATCACTTTTACCTGAGATATGTTTTGAGTAACTTCTGAATGCAAATTAATCAAAGATTTACTGGTTATCAATAGCAAGATATTTTACAACCCAACAACTAGGGCAAAGCAAATAAGAAAACCTGTTTCCTATAAATGGGATTTTTCTTCTGCTTGCAAGACACAGAAATACAAAAAGCAAGTTTCGATAGGCCCTAAAGCACCAGAAAATGAATTCATATAGATGGCACTTAAAATAATTTCTCCAATAACTTTAAGATTCCCAGCACACTGTAAGACTCCTTATACTTGTCTTCATTTCAGAAGTAGTACTCTTAGAATTCTCAACTAGGTAGAAAACAACTGTTACTACTGGGTGTTACTTTGATATATGTACTTATCCCAGCTAACATTACAACAGCTGATTCTTCTTTCAACTACAACAAAAGAAAATAAAATTATGAGCTGACTTATATAGTAAACAGTAGAGGGTGGGGGAACAACAGAAAAGGTACTTTATAATTTGTACCGCTAACGTTAACAGCTGAACTGTTGAAAGCAAAAAAGGGAATAAAGCACTTGTTATTACTATATATCCTGAATTAGCTGTCTTATTAAGTGTATGACACCCCTCTAAGAAAAGCTATTGTACTAAAGCAATAACCCTTGTCAAAGTGTTTAAACTGAAACAATGTTAAGACTCATCCTTGTGTATTTATTTGGTACATATGTATAGTAATATTAAAGCTTAAATGGTCATAGTTTCCCCCTAATGCCACATGGAAAAAAACTGCTGTCACACCAAAAGGACTACTACCTTGTCAGTGCTCTGCTTGAATTTTGGACCAATTACCATCCTGGTGACACTCTGCTGAAAGTCATAACAGAAAACATTCTATACACTATTCAGCACTCAAGGAGAAGGGTCAGAGCACTTTGAGAGTCTGGGGCAGGGACAGGTGGCACAGATCACTCCAACTCTATGCACTCATTCCCCAGGACCAACAGAGCTAAAGAGGGACAACATGAAGCCAAATTGTTACCCATGCTAGAGAGCTCACTGCTGCCTGCCATTTAACTACAAAGCGTTATTTTAAAATTGCATTTCAATCATTTGACTAAGCAGTTAAAATTAGAATTACCTAATTTAAACGTTTCCCTTGGAAGGCACTTCTTTACCCTGTATATATTTTCTTCTATTAAACAAATAATGCATGCATGTTTAGCAAAATATACAGGGACACATAAACAGACTAGTAATTACTTAGCGTAGTGCTTTCTGATTCCAGATTACTTCTTATCTTAACTTCATTTTTATTTCTTTTCTTCATTCTTCCGTTTCAAATTCTGACTTCTTTCATCTTCCCCACTTCACACAAATTGCTCAATATTCTACAAGTGGGACTTCTGGTCTGATAATTAGCATGCATTCTTTCTTTTATTTTTTCAAATTTCAGCTTCACTTATTCCTGAGCTTCAAATACTCATTTATAAAACTTGTCAAATGACGACTTCCGCATTTTCCTTCTTCAACATTAACCTTAATAGAAAAAGAACAGGATGAAGAATATTTTAAAACTCCAGGATAAAATCCAGTGCCAAAACTGAAACTAGAAAAAAAAAAATCTTTTTTTTTGGATTAAAAAAAACTAGAATATGCAGCTCAAAAAACTGAAACTACCGTTTTTCTTTGGTTCTAGAATGTATATGGTAATCTCATTTGTCTACTCCAAATAGATTTACCATGCTTAAGCTGAACGTGAAGTGCGCTACTGAACATTTACTGTTCATTTAACATTTTAAGAACTAGAATTACATTTCACACTTCTTAACTTATTGTATTCAATACAAAATGTTAAGTGTCAAAAGCACATCTCTAGTAAAAAAAGTGACACATCAATACAAAAGTGCAAGAAAGGAAAGCACGGACAATTCATTTGCACAATGACAAAGGCTCAGGGTTAAAGAGGCTTACAATATTGTGACTTGTCTAGATAGGATAAAGAAAACATTTATTGTCACACATTTTTGCACTGCATATTTAGAAGAGTTCTGTAAAAGACAAGGTAGGGGAACCTGACAATTTGGAATTGTTGCGTTCAACCCACCCCTGGGAAAGGTGCTGAAGTGAGATTAGTATGCCTGGTCCAGTTACTAAATTTAGAATTAATATAAAAAGACAATCAGGTCAACCAGCTACTATATGCCAGAAGCTACGAAGGAAATCAAAACAAGCTTGAATCCAACAGTGATATGTTCAAGAATTTTGTTGTAAAATTTTCCCCTCAATGAACAAAATATTAAAGTCTTCTGGATATCTGAAAGAAAATTCTATTTAAAAGGTGGCAATATTAGGAGAAAATTACGGCTCACCTCCTCAAATAATTTAAGCCTTAATTTCATAAATCAGTGAAGTATAACAGAGTCTTGTACAATCTAAGCAAATACTGCCTTAAAAGCATCTAGTTTTCCTTATCCTGCATCTCACTCTACTATCATTTCCTAGTTTTATTTTCCTTCTGAAAAACATTAAAGTTTTCTTAAAAGACAACTATAGTTGTTGCAGGTATTGTTAAAAGCCTAATTTCCAGGTTAGTTTTAAAATAAAATAGTTTATTTACTCTGGAAAATAGTTTAAATAGCTTTTTATTTAAGGGAGTCCTAGCAATTGGCTTTTAATGTCCATCACTAAAATGTAATGGGAAACGTTTTCTGGCAACACAAATGTAATCGTGGAATCAGAATGCCCAAGCAGGTTTCCTTAGGGCTTCCTAATGGCAAAGATAACAGGGCTTAGATGCAAAAGATACTGGAAAATAAAGACCAAAGCCCTAGTTGTCACAACTGCTTTCAAAACTGACGCCTTCCTGCTGTTATTTTATTACCCATTCTGTAATCATCTTTTTATATTCTAAGAACAAACCCATTACTAGATAACATAAATATTAGGCTTTATTTCAACTCAGCTGCTAAATTCAAGTGGCCACTTCATAAAACCAGAAGACCAACTAGTGGGCTAATGTCATACACATATTGTTAAGAGATCCTACTTATGAGATAAACAACTTGTCCCATCAATACAAATTTTGTTAAAAAATGTTTCTAGGGGCTACAATTGAAACAAGCTTAAAACATTAAACACCCAAAAACTCATGAGGTTGATTAACAAGGTAATTTTTTGGGGGGGGTTGAGGGCCACAAGGCCAAAGAAAAACACATCTTGCCATGGAATGGTCAAAGCTGATTATCAGTAAATTATGTATTTTTTCTGCAACCAGTCTACCAGAAGGTTGGAAGGACAGAAAAATTCTCAGACAAGTCTCTGGAGAGAAACAAAACTGCCGGAATCAACTTAAGTCTCAAATTCCCTCAGTACTCTCCAGTAAAAACAAGTATGCTTTCTCTTTCTCAGATTACCTTTTAATCTGAGATTTAAGCACAAAAATTAATGCAAAGAGGGCCTTATCCAAACTGCCATGTGACAATCTATGACAAAACCAACACCTGAAAATAACATCTATAACCCAATTCAAAGCAAAGATCTTTGGAATCTGAAGACTGTAAGCTGCTATAGTAACTTTTTGACTTGTGACTTTACAACACCAAGACAATACCTAATTCCATGTGACTCACACTTCAAAATACTAATCTGGGTAAAAAAAACACTTAATATTCCTAAACAATCATAATAACTTGCAAAAATACAAGTATGTATAAATACAAAACCATGCTGAAGCTCATATATAAAATTGTAGTGGTCCCTGCCTTGGGCACAGTGTGAACTATGGAAGCATTGTTTATCGGAATTGGGGCGAAAGGCTATAAAAGGTGAATTCCATCAACACTTCATCTGAATTCCTCTTCAATCTTTCAATAAAATTGGTAGTACTTACCTTGTAAAATCACTTGCAATCTCAGCTGGAAAATGTCACCTTCTAGTTCCAGATAATATCCACACATTAAAGCATTATTTAAAAACCAAGGAAAAAAAATATTTCAATCTGGTTTCAAGAGACTCATACCTATCTAGACTCCTGGTGAAAAACAATGCAAAAACTAAACTATTTACTCCTCCCTCCCTCCCCTTGTTGACATGAATTCATCCTTTAAGGAATTTGGTGCGATGCCTACAATTCTTCAGAAAGAAACAGATTGAGAGGTTTCAGTTTCGAAAATTAGAATTTATAAAGTTAGAGCTAAAAATAAGACTACAAAAAGACATCCCAAGATTAAGCAGAAGAAGAAGAAAAAACTGCAGAATCTGAAAGGCAGTTTGATGGGATGGTATATCCAGACACTGTTCATTTCTGTGAAGAGTAAGAATAAAGATAATGTGCCTATGTTGCAAAACAGCCAATATTCTATCAGACTATTTGCTGGGTCAAAACATACTTGCTTAAAACTATCGTAATTCTTGATAGCTTGACAAATTTAAAATGTCTGTTCCATAGTTTCTGAATTCTTTTTGTAAACACCCATTTGCAGAAACCAATTACAATCACAAAGGTGGGGGGGAGAACATTGAGTGCAACACCAGATAACAGAAACTTCACAGGCTCTATACATTGTGTCCACCAAGGTTACCCCCAAACTCACTACCAGCTCATGTTCTTACACTCCTGTGATGTGATGTAATTACTTAGTGCCCTTCCCCCCACACTCCCCCGGAGAAAAGGTGCCAGTCAATTCCTTTACAAAATAGTTTAGGGAAACAAAGAGATTTTAAACCTGGAGATAAGATTTCACCTTTGCCTGTGGTTTGGTCAGTCACGGAAGTCAACTTTGAGATGAGGGGAGTAACACTACACAAACGGGAGAATGAGGGGTACACTGAACCACAGTTATCACTGTTTCCATTCAATATACTTCTTCTGCATTAGGTGACCAAACAGAGGATAATTTATTCCACACGCTGATTCTGTTCAGGAAAGTTAACAACTTAGTCTGAAGGTAGGCGGGGACTGGAGATGGTGTGGGAGTGTCTGAATCACAAGACAGGTAAGAGGGCGAGATTTCCGGAGCTTGAAGATTTGTACTAGTTACTCAAATTAACTGCAACAGTCCAGAATGTTTGAGTCTAGAGAGCTTAGAAAACCTATTTATGCCAGGCATGTCCAAGATTATTACTTTGAACATATTTTTTTCACTGCTTTCATGCCCATCATACTTAACTGTTTCACCTTGCAATACTTTGTTTCCTTGAGCTTTATGGTTTTGCCAAACATTCTTTGGAAGTCCAGACATGTTTGTTTTAGGGGTGTTCCAATTGGCCAGCCAACACACAAACACCAAACTAAACAATGGGGAAGTATTATACAACTTAGAAAAGTCTGACAAGGAAAAAGAAATTATTTTTGACACTCAACTTTTACTTTCCTTCCCCGATTTAGAGGACACTTTATTCAGGTATGCGATTAACACTGGAATCTTATCTTTTACTAGTAGAAAATTATGCAGGACCAATTTAAAAATTTCAGACCAGTGACTTTTCTTTTTCAGGTGTTATCTCCAACTTGAAGTATTTCCCCCATCCGGATGTAAAATATCCTACATTCTTTGGGCAAACTTCCAGCTATGTAACCTCTCACTGTTTTCAGAGCTACTCAGAAACCATTTTGTATTTCACAAGCAGTTATAAAGGTACCCAGTAACTGTTGTCTAATAACGAAGACTTTAGAATCACTTGCCTTCCAACCCAAACATCAATGACTAGCATTAACAGTCTAACTTATTGGCAGCCACCAGAACTCACAACTTTTAACAACTCCTAAATACATCCCACGCTTTCTTACCCTAGGAAAAGCAAGAGCCGAAGAAAATCCCACACCTCTGATGCCACCAAAGTCAATCTCTTACGGAAAAAAACAATCTAAACTCCCAATAATCATCTAAGCACGTTCAAGACCGCTTTGGTTGCCAAGTTCAATAAGGTGCCAAGAGCTAAGAAAATGCTACTTCTTTCGAAAACAGCCTTTCTGAGGAACCACCTACATCGTTTGCGAAGACCGAGAATATCTGACAAATTTTCCATCTTAAGGTGCCTCTACAAGGGGGAAGCTAAACAGGCAACAAATTGTCGCGCGTACACGCAACCACCGAGTCCTGTAACACCCTCAAAAATCCTTTTCTGGCGTACCCCTTTAACCAATCCTCCCTCTCCTCCAGCCTCACACACGGAGCCCCCTCCGCCCCGTCGTTAACCCTCGCCATTTCACCAACTCCCAGCTAGCTGCGAAAACAACCCCCCGGGACAGAACTGGGCCCTACGCGCACGGCGCGCCTCGGCCTCAAAACAAAGGAAATGACGGCGCCATAGCTCGTTGCCCGCCAATTTCCCCTTCACAATCCCGTGGAAAACTCGGCTCCAGAAAAACGCCCTAGCGACCTTGGGATCTACTATAACGGGACACTGGTCATGCGTTTTACCTTTAAAAAAAAAAAAAAAACCCTTTTGTATCCGAAAAAGCACTCCGATTAGGCCAGAAACAAAGCCCGCGCGCAGTCCCCTCCAGCTAACGGGCTCAGAACTAGGGTCTAGCTCAGGCCAGTCCCCATCTTTCAGGAGGCCCCGAAACCTGCCCCCGCACGTACCGACGCCGAGCCCACCTCCCCTTCTGAACACCGGGCGAGAGCCACCCCGACCCCAAGAGCGCCGTCCTCCCTGCACCGCACCACGCGGCTCCGAGGCGCGGCCCCGTCCGCGTGGACGCGCGGCCGCTCCGCCATTTTGTGCCGCTGGCAGCGCGCCCGGCCCGCCAGCCCAAGATGGCTGCGGCGAGGCTTCGCAGGCGAGCAACGGCGAAATCCGAGGCCGCACCCCTCCCCCAACACCGCGGGGACGCAGCCGCCATTTTTAATTACCCCCTCCCCATAACGGAAAAAACGGCTGTCTCGGGGGCGAAGACGCACAGCCGCGCCGCGGGCCTGCCTCACGCCTCACGCCACCATCCACCAGCGCTCTGAACAACCCCGTCTCCGTTCCCTCCCGGCTTCAGACTTCGGAGCCTCCAACGCCCCCGCCTCCCGGCCTGAGGCCGATGGGCCTAGAAAAAGACTCAAAAGAGGCTGGGACCACACGGCCACCCCCTACACCACCTCAACATACCCGCTCGCCGTAGTTCTGCTCGCCGCTGTCGCTCATGACTCCTGGCTGCTGTCGCTGCTCGCCGTGCTTCAACCGAAGCTGTCAACCTCTTGCGCCTTCTTTAAGAGGTTCCGCCGCAGCCTCGCACGACGCTGGTGTCCGAGCCGCCCAGAGCCGAAGCGCTCCGCACCGCCTCCGCACGGGCTCTAACTCTACCGGACGTGACGCGGCCCTCCTTAGCTCGGCTCCGCCCCCTCCCAGAACGCGCGCTTTCTTGGCCCCGCCCCCTCCCTCTGCCTTCTGTGTCTTCTCTGTCCCGCGGCGGCGCGGCCCGAACCGGATCTGACGTCAGCCTCGCCCCAGCCCTCCCCCCACCACCCACCCTGCGCGGCCCCACCCCCATCTGCAGGTCCCTAGCAAGGCGGGAAAGCGAGCGTGTAAGTTGACTTCAGCGGTGGGCGCCATGGGACGCAGTGATGTCAATAGCTACGCCTAATCCCTTCTGGAACTTTCCAGGGAAACTATGGGCGGTTGTGGGATGCAGTGAGGAAGGAAACACCCCACCTCCCCGTTTCTCCTATCCTTTAATCCTTTCTTCTGCCTTGTGACTAGTTTTGTGCCTTAACCTTGGCTGAAGGGGGTGGGTAGCCACACACTTGGTTCCATTTTATATCCTGTTTATTTAGACGTAGTTGTAGATCTTTTCTGCCTGAAGAAGCCACCTTTATAAAAAAGCCAAATCTTGAGAGACAGGAGTCAGACATAATCTGTGTTCCGAAAAAAGTCAGATGTCTGAAAAAAAGGAGAACCTTTAAGCACATTACAACTCCAGTGCTAGAGGCACATACAATCTTTTTTTTGTTTGACAGGCAGAGTGGACAGTGAGAGGGAGAGACAGGTCCTCCTTTGCCGTTGGTTCACCCTCGAATGGCCGCCGCAGCCGATGCGCTGCAGCCGGCGCACCGCGCTGATCTGATGGCAGGAGCCAGGTGCTTCTCCTGGTCTCCCATGGGGTACAGGGCCCAAGCACCTGGGCCATCCTCCACTGCACTCCCGGGCCACTGCAGAGAGCTGGCCTGAAAGAGGGGCAACCGGGACAGACTCCGGCGCCCCCACCAGGACTAGAATCCGGTGTGCCGGCACCGCAAGACGGAGGATTAGCCTAGTGAGCCGCGGCGCCGGCTTCAAGGAGGGAAGATTAAAGTCTGGCTTTATCCAAGAGCTTTTAGTTGGACATGGTGAGAAGAGTTCACACGTGGAAGTTAGTTGCCGGATCCCTCAGTACATCAGTATCCCTAACCATAAAAAAGAGTTATGGGCAGGTGTTTATTCTCATAGAATCCCTGCCTCCAACTGCTGATTGTACCTTCTTGCTAATGCAGACCCTGGGATGTTAATGCAGTGGTGATGGCTCAAATTGCTGCGTCCCTGCAAGAAACTGGAGCTCTGTATTGAGGTCCTGGCTTCAGACTTCAGCCTGGCCCAGCCCCAGTCATGGCTGGCATTGGGGGAGTGAACCAGCAAATGGGCACCCCTCCTTCCGTCTTCTTTCCCCGCCCACTGGAAAAAAAGTAACTTTGATTCCTGTACAGGATGATTTTAGGTACAACTCATGGAGCTGGCATTATGGCATATTGGGTTTAGCTGCTGCCTGTGATGGTGGCATCCCATGTGGGCTCCAGTTTCAGTCTTGGTTCCTCTGTTTTCAATCCAGCTCCCTGCTAATGGCCAGGGAAAAGCACTGGAAGCTGTCCCAAGTGTTTGGGCCACTGCCACCCACATGGGAAGCCCACATGAGGCTCCTGGCTTCAGCCTGGCCCAGCCCTGGCCTTTACAGGCATCTGAGAAGTGTGCTAGCAGATAGAAGATCTCTGTCTCTCACACTCTCTCTGCAACTGACTTTCAAACAAACAAATAAATCTTTAAAAAAATATAACTCATGTACCATGTGGTTTTCCCATTTAAAGTACACAATTGAAATGGTTTTGTATATTCACAGAATTGTGTGACCATCACAATTTCAGTCTCATCACATCCAAAGAAACCTATACTCTTTGTTTTCTCTTTCTCCCTCCCTCTCTAAAATTCTCCCAGTCTTAGACAATCAAAAGCCTATTTTTCTGCTCTAGATTTGCCTGTTCTGGATATTTTGTATGAATGGAATCATGTAATATGGAGTCCATTGTAACTGGCTTCTTAGCATAATATTTTCAATATTCATCCATGTTGTAAATATACTGGTATCTCCTTTTTTATTGTTACTTTACATTCTATTGTATGGATATATATCATATTTTTCCCATTTGATACACTTTCGGGTTCTTTCTATTTTTTAATTGTTATGAATAATTCTGCTGTGAACATTGATGTACAAAATTTTTTGTATGAGTATGTGTTTTTTTTTTTAAAGATTTATATATTTATTTGAAAGAGTTACACAGAGAGAGAAGGAGAGGCAGAGAGAGAGAGAGAGAGAGAGGTCTTCCATCTGATGGTTCACTTCCCAATTGGCTGCAACAGCCAAAGTTGTGCCAATCCAAAGCCAGGAGCCAGAAGCTTCCTCCCGGTCTCCCACGCGGGTGCAGGGGCCCAAGCACTTGGGCCATCTTGTACTGCTTTCCCAGGCCTTAGCAGAGAGCTGGATTGGAAGTAGAGCAGCCAGCTCTCAAACCAGCGCCCATATGGGATGCCGACGCTTCAGGCCAGGGCGTTGACCTGCTGCGCCACAGCACCGGCCCCATGAGTATGTGTTTTCATTTTTCTGGGGGACATGCTTCAAAGTGTAGTTGCTAGACCCTTCAGTATCTATATGATTAACTTTCTGAGGAGCCGCCAAACTGTTTTCCACATCACCCGAGTTTCTTTTACATTTTCTATCACCACCAGCGTGGTGTGAAGCTTTCACTTTCTCTATAACCTCATTGATACTTGTTAGTCTGCCTTTAAAGAAAATGTATTGCCATCTTAGTGGTTATCAAATGGTATCTCATGGCTTTGATTCACATTTCTCTCACAATAATAATGCTAATATTTTCATATGTTTACTGGCTGTTTGTAGCTTTTTTTTTTTTTTTTTGACAGGCAGAGTGGACAGTGAGAGAGAGAGACAGAGAGAAAGGTCTTCCTTTTTGCCTTTGGTTCACCCTCCAATGGCCGCCACGGCCAGCGCACCGCGCTGATCCGAAGGCAGGAGCCAGGTGCTTCTCCTGGTCTCCCATGCAGGTGCAAGGCCCAAGGACTTGGGCCATCCTCCACTGCCCTCCCGGGCCATAGCAGAGAGCTGGCCTGGAAGAGGGGCAACTGGGACAGAATCCGGCGCCCCGATCAGGACTAGAACCCGGTGTGCCGGCGCTGCAAGGCGGAGGATTAACCTATTGTTGTAGCTCTTCTTTAGAGAAATGTCTGTTCTGAAACTTTGCCCACTTCCAATGTTATTTATCTTTTTATTACTTAGTGTAAGTTGGCAGTTTGATCCTTGCTTGGTGTAAAATGGAACAATGTCAGTATTTACGGTACCGGAGACTGAGGATTGGGGGACTTAATGATGACAATTCTCTCTTCCACAGTGTTCTGTGGAGCAGACCTTACCCACTCTCATGGTTTCCATCAGGGTCCTGTATACTTAGGGCTTGTATTTATATTTATGTCTGTATTTACAGTTTTGAAACTCCTCCTCAGATCCATGTTTAAATTTCAATTGCCTGCTGGAATATTTACCTGGGTATTTCAGAGGCTTGTAAAAGTTAACATGTCCAAAATTAAAACCATTTTAAATCTTCCCCTCTTGTGTCTTCCAAGCCTCTCTGCTGGAAATATCTTCTGTGTCACCCTCCTTATCTAATTAACTAACACATATCATCCATTTTACTTCCTATAGTTTTTAAATTTTCAAATATCATTATTGAGGCCGGCACTGTGGCATAGTGGGTAGAGCCGCTGCCTGAGGCAGCTGCTGTGTAGAAAATGGCCCAAGTCCTTGGGCCCCTGAACCCATGTAAGAGACCCGGAAAAAGCTCCTGGCCGTTGCAGCCATTTGGCGAGTGAACCAACGGATGGAAGACTGTCTCTCTCTCTCTACCCTCCTCTGCCTCTCTGTAGCTCTACCTTCCAAATAAATAAATCAATCTTTAAAAAATTATTTGGGGGCAGGCATTGTGGCACAGTGGGTTAATGCCCTGGCCTGAGGCACCAGCATCCCATGTGGGCACCAGTTCTGGTCCCCGCTGCTCCTCCTCCAATCCAGCTCTCTGCTATGGCCCGGGAAAGCAGTACAAGATGGCCCAAGTCCTTGGGTCCCTGTACCCGCATGGGAGACCCCAAGGGAGCTCCTGGCTCCTGGCTTCAGGTCGGCACAGCTCCAGCCGTTGCGGCCATCTGGGGAGTGAACCAGCTGATGGAAGACACCTCTCTCTGTCTCTACTTCTCTCTGTAACTGTCTTTTAAATAAATAAATCTTTAAAAAATATTATTTTTGAAATTTTTATTCGTTTCATTTATTTGAAATGCAGAGAGACAGAAAGAAAACCAGAAAGAGACCATTGGAGATCTCTCATACGCTGGTTCATTCCCCAAGTGCCTGCAACAGCAAGGGCTGAACCAGGTGGAAGCCAGGAGTCAAGAACTCAATCTGAATTTAAAAAATTAAATAAAGAAATAAAAAAAAAGGGAAAAAAATGAACTCAATCTGAATCACCCACGACAGTGGTCAGGAACTACTTGAGCCATGACCTGCTGCCCCTATGATGTACATCAACAGGAGCTAAAACCTGAAACCAGGTACTCAAACAAAGGATGTAGGTATCCTAAGCTGTGGCTCAACTGCTGCACCGAATGCCACTCCCATCCCCATCATATGTGTGTATGTGTGTAATATATATGGAAACATATAATATATATATTTGAAAGAGCTGGGGGTGGGGGGGAGGTCTGCCATCCACTGGTTCACTCCTGGCTGAAGCCAGGAGCCAGGAACTCCATCCTGTTCTACATGGGTGGCCCAAGTACCTAGGCCATCTGGCAATGCAAGCAGTGGCTTAACCAGCTGCACCACAACACTTCCACCCTTCTTCCCCCAGAGTGTGTTTTTTTTTTTTTTTTAACCTTTTCTTCTCTATCCCCACTGCCACCATTTATCTGAGCCTGTTTAGTTCATTTATCTGAAGAGCTGCAAAGTAACTTAGAAACTAAATTAGCATTTGTGGAATCTTTACAACTCTTAATTACTTTGTTTCAAGTTCAAGTAAAAGGAAATAGTGTTATAAAAAGATTAAAATGATTACCTTGGTGTCCTAGTTCGTTTGTTCTTTCTTTCTTTCTTTCTTTCTTTTTTTTTTTTTACAAATTGAGGAACAATAGTTTTAATTAAAGGTAAGTTTTAGAAAAACATTAATTATGCAGTATTACCCTATACAAATGGATTTTCTACAAGTAGCTCAAG